TCCTTCCGCTTCACCAACTGCACTGCTCAGCTTGGTGTCATCAGCAAAGTTGCTGAGGGCACACTCAATCCTATCAACTATGTCACTGATAAAGATGTTAAAGAGCACCAGTCCCAAGACAGACATCTGGGGGACACCACTCATTACTGGCCTCCAAATGATGTTCTTACAAGTGATCTTCATTAAACAATCCATTACAGCACTTTTACATGCTTCACAGCCTAATTCAGCCCGACCAACTATCAGAAAGGTTTGGAAAGAAGCACATCTCTTTGTGAGTAAATCTCAGATGACCAACTGTTAATTACGTGGAATCAATTCCATACTTCAGACAGATTTGATCACTTCTCTCAATTTAATGTACCCCAAAGGAGCAGCATCTGCTTGAAGCCTAGGGAGACTTTTCTCTTCACCAGTTCTGATTTCATCTTTCCCTTTGGCATGCCACCCTTCTTCCATTCTGCTGAAGAGGGCAGAGCATAATGCTACTGACTTTGTTCTCTGGTGCACAGGTGGCAACAATGACTTTTTCACCCTGCAGCCCTACACAGGGCACCAGCAGAAAGCACTGCAGAAGTTACAACTGATGTTTGAAATGATCTATTATGAGACAGCACTACTTCTGTCACAAAGTGCAAAAAGATGTCTTGTATATACCTCCCAATGCTTGGCATTTGGAAGCACTTAATGATGAGCAGTAGCTACTGCTTGATCAAATCCATTTATGCAAAAGCAATTGGCACTTCCTGCCTGCCCCTCAAAGTAAACCTGCACCCTACTGGGAGCAAGACATGCATCACCCTACCCACACAGTGGTTGCTATATAATGCAGAATATTTTGATCGCTCAGGTGTGTAAGTGACTGAACTTGCAGAATCCAGCAAGAACTGTTAGTAAGCAAGCAGCCAAGTTAGAGCTTTGCATTCAGGGAACTGGCAAGCTTTCTGTTTGCGTGCTGCTACCTCACTAGTTTTATATTTGCTCATATATACAAAAAACTGTTCATGCCTAGAAGCCAAATTGCATTTTGCTTTTCCAAATTTGCCTGAAGCCATGAAATTCATGAGCAACACGAATGAGGAGGGAAAAAGAAGAGGAATGTGGTTTGTGTGATTATCTTGCAACTTACTTGCCAAATACTCAAGTTCTAATCTGCAGGCAATCCTCTACTAATTAATTTCTGAAGTTCACTCATATGTTTGTCATCTGTACCCAATCCTCCTTTTCTAGGTAATACACACACAACAAACAACAATCCTCTGAAGTGCTGTGGTCGTTCTCCTGGCACAGGCATTGTACTTACTTGTTGCCAAGTTAATCTCAGCCGTTCAAATTGTTCTTTCCCATCTTCTGAGCAATCAGAGCAAGTAAACCTGAAAAAGTTATCTCCTTTGAGATAGCTGAGCTGTTCTCTCAGTTGACCTAAAATCAATAGGCAAAAGATCAAACTTTCAGTCCTTTCATACAAAGAAAAGTTGCAAAGATCTGGATTTCCTACAGGAATCCCTTTTTCAGGCAGAAAAGCACTTTTGCTATTTCCTAGAGTCTAAAGACCCAAGCAGCTCCCAAGAAGAGCTGGCACAAGCTGTAACGTAAGGTATTGGCTCATGTTACAGTTGCAGCAGTCAGCACCCACTATCAAAAAGCACAGGCATTAGAAAGTCTTATTCTACTGAGCAGCTGAACACAGCCAAAGGATTTCCTCCACATTTTTCATTAGTTTTTGCTTCCCAAGAATAATCTACATACTGCAATAAATAACCATTTTCCCCATTCTACCTGAAACAAACAACCACCAATAACAACAACAAAAAAAAAACAGCTAATCTGCTAACCCTGCAAAAAGTTTGAAAAAATGTGATCTACTGGGGTAGAGCCAAATATAAAGCAGCACACATTAAAAGCTAAATATTCTAATTCTGTTTCTGCAGCAAACAATGGGCAAAAAAAAAAAAAAAAATCTGTCAGGATCCCTAAACTCAACAGAGATGAAAGAAAGCAAAATCAGAAGAGAGGGAAACAGAGGATTACTGCATTTCTGAAAACGCACAGGAAAAGTCTGCCTCTAAAAGCATTCCATCTCTTTCTTTACTGCTCTTTGGATTTGTTCCACAGCAACAAGAGAGGAACATCTATCTTTGTAAAACAGAACAAACTGAATGTTAAATTGAGTGCCCTAATATCTCATGCTACCTTTAACTCTGTTCCTTTTTATTAATATCTATTATTAATACATATCAAGCTTGTTTGTCCCACTGTCTACACAGCATCATTTTAACAGTACTATGCTGGCTCCACCACGTTATTAGCAATGCTCACACTATGCCTTGAGGGAGTTCTACATTAGACTTGTGGCAAGCTTTAGGATGGTAATAAGGGCAGTTCTGATACAGCTGCAAAACTCTTTAGAATTTCAAAAGTAAAGCCTGCTATTTTGCTAGCATCATACACCTTATGTTAAGCAGCAACAGCAAAGGGATCTAGTTATCTAGCTTGCTCCAAGCACCCCCCAAAGCTAGCTATTACAGGCTGGACACACTTGTGCAAAAGCTAAATTAAATTCACATTATCAGAAAATCATTAGTGATAAGATTTATCCATATGCTGCACAGATGCAGCAAGCTAACTAGGGAAGAAAACAATAAAAAAATTGTCTCCACATACAAAGCCGTGTTCCTCCACAGACCTTTGCAGAAAGAGTTGTTCTTTATTTGAGAGCAGTGAGAGGACAACTCACTTGGCCAAAGTCCTTCGGCATGCCAGTGACAGGCCTCAGGACAGCATGCACATTTCTGATGTCCTATCCTTGTTTGGCACTAATTAGAGCAGACAGACCCCCTTCTCGCAGGGAACACCAGCTAACAACACCCACACAGCTCACTGGTTGAAATGCCCAATGCACAGAACGAGCAGCATTAGGCAGCTGGGCTCTGTGCTACACCTAGTCAGCATTTTCCTCCCACCACCGGGACATAGCTAACCAAAAGTCACAAAGAGCATACAGAACAGCACAGACACCTTGTAGATTGCAACCCTGGTGATGCCAATTACATGTGGGGAAGGCTACAAGAAACAGCAAAGCCAGCCCTCTTACTTGCTGGAATCCACTTCTGGCACTTCTCGCAGTAGTAGGACATCTCCTCCATCCAGGACGCATCACCTTCATCACTGTTCAGCGAGTCTCCGCTCTGGTCATGGGATAAATCCACTGAGGCCTGGTCCTCAGACTCTACAATTAGGAGGGTTTCCCCTTCCACCTCACCCTCCTCCAGACCCTCCGAAGTCGAAGTCCTCGTGGCTTCATCATCATGGCGGCTCAGCAGCCCGCTCATGTGAACGTTATTAGCCATCCTTCATGGCCTACAGCAGGATGGTGTTTGCATGACAAGCTGCCCGTCCTCCCTGCATTCACAAGTCCATCCACACTGAACGTGCCAAGTCTCCAAAGTACTAGGGATAGAAGAAATATTTTGTGCGTGCCCTACGGCTTTTGGTACAGGAATATAATGTGTCTGAAAGAAACAGCCTTTCACAGGTGATCTCTGTTAAATACTTGAAAGTAGTTAGAATGCAATCATTCCAAGTGCCTTGAATCAAACCTCTAACAAGTCAGGTCCCACCTAGGACTGCTGGGATCCCTTTTCCATGAGCATCTTCTCTCTTTCTTCTGTAAGCCGCTTTGTCAAAGCAATCTGCTCTTCCAGCAGGCGAATGTTTTCTCTTTTCTGATTTTGTCGCTCCAGATCTCTGAGAACACCACTGTGCAGCCTCTGAAAGCACAAGAGACAGGGTTTTTACCACAGCCTGTTTGACTGTGAGCGTGACCAACCCCACCTGGGCTCCAGTCCACCTTGCAGGGCTGCTCACCGTGCCATACTGCCTCTGCAAAACTCCTACAGCCATTACGCCCTGCTGTGCACTGGTAGCTCCCACACCGTGCAGGATGGACAACCTGTAACAGCCAGGTATCTCTGCCCTAAGCCTCTATTCAAAGCCAGGCAATTCCTCCAAAAGTGCTATTCTGCTTGGAGAGATTTTGGTGGAAAAATAATTTTAAGAAAAAACTGCCATTTTATCTTGATTTGCTTATGTCTTACTTTTTTTTTTTTAATTATTATTTAAAAAAAAAAAGCTAGTAAACTCTCACTGTAAGGCTGGCAGAAGATCCACAGCCTGCTTACGCCATGCTTTTGAAACAGCAGGGCACTTCATTCGCAGGCTGAACCCTTCATCCAGAACACTTGTTATACACGAGACACACGGCACTGATGAGCAGTTTGCACACTGACAGCTAAGTAAGTCACCAAGCGGATGTAAACAGCCTGAAGAAGATTCCAGCTACTCTTTTGTTTCCTCCTTACACTTTTCTGTCTCTGCTACCCAGAATCACGGAGTGGTTTGTGTTGGAAGGGACCATTAAGACCACCTCGTTCCAACCCTGCTATAGGCAGGGACACCCCCCTCCAGACCAGGTTGCTCACAGCCCCATCCAGCCTGGCCTTGAACGCCTGCAGGGAGGGGCATCCACAGCCTCTGGGCAACCTGTGCCGGTGCCTGGAAGGCACCCGGGAGGTTTTTGCCACGCACCTCTTGAAGCCGTGAGTGAGAAGCGCATTTTGGGAGGGAGAAGCTCACAGCAGCGGCCTCATCAGGTGCCCCAACCAAAGGCACCTGCCACCGGTTAGCAAACCGAGACACAACTACAGCACACAGAAGGCGCAAAGGGCTGCGAGCCCTGTCCTGACAGCGGTAGAAATATGCGAACCGACGAGACGGCATCACACCGCTCCGGGCCTGCCCGCCTGCCTCCCCGCCCCCGCTCACCTCACGCTCCCGCCGCTGCTGGACGTGCACGGCCACGATGGTGGCGGCGGAGAGGAGCGCGGTGACGACCAGCACCGCCCGGGAGCTCCTCGACATCGCCGGGCACGCGCACGACCGGACGGCCGTTAGCAGCGCGCGCCACAACCGCCTGCCCGCCGCGGGGGAAAAGGCGGGACCGCGAGGTGGGGAGGGGTGGGGAAGCGCGCCCCGCCCTGCCGAGCGTCGAGCGTGTCGAACCGCCGCCGCCAGCCCTGAGAAGCGGAGGGCCGAGAAGGTCAATGGCATCATGACTTGTATCAGCAGTAGTGCAGCCAGCAGCAGCAGGGAGGGCATCGTCCGCCTGTACTCAGCTTTGGTGAGGCTGTGCCTCGAGTGCTGTGTTCAGTGCTGGGCCCCTCACTGCAGGAAAGACATTGAAGTCCTTTGGAGCTTCAATGTCCAGACCAGTGTCCAGTGTCCAGAGAAGGGCAATAAAGCTGTGAGCGATCTGAAGCACGAGTCTTAGGGGGAGCAGCTGAGGGAGCTGGGACGGTTCAGTCTGGAAGAGAGGGGGCTCAAGGGAGACCTTATTGCTCTCTACAACTGCCTGAAAGAAGGGTGTGCTGAAGTGGGAGTTGGCCTCTTCTCTCAGGTAACAGTGATAGGATGAGAGGGAATTCCCTCAAGTTGCACCAAGGAAAGTTCAGGCTGGATGTAGGAAACGTGAGTGGTGAGGCATAGGCACGGGCTGCCCAGGGAGGGGTGGATGGAGTCGCCGACCTTGGAGGTGTTTGAGGAAAGGGTAGATGTGGTACTGAGGGACATGCTTTAATGGGTGGGAGATGGATGGTTGGAGCTTCGTTATTTTATGATTCTATGATCACAGCTAGAGGGTTGTGGTCAATGGCTTTATGTCCAGGTAGAGGCTGGTGATGAGTGGTGTCCCCTAGGGGTCTGTCTTAGGACCTGTGCTCTTCAGCATCTTTAACAGTGAGCTCTAAACTAAAAGAGGGGAGATTTAGATTCTCTATTAGGGGGAAATTCTTTACAGTGAGGCACTGGCAGTGCTGCCCAGAGAAACTGTGGGTACCTCATCCCTGGAGGCACTCCAGGCCAGGTTGGATGGGGTCCTGGGCAGCCTGAGCTGGTGGGGGGCAGCCCTACCCATGGCTGGGAGATGGTGAAGGGGCTTTAAGGTCCCTTCCAACCTGAGCCATTCTGTGATTCTATGATTCCATGATTCTGTATCAAGTTGCTGCTTTCAGCTCACAAATTCCTTACCACCACCAGATGGGAGGTTTATTGTCAGAGGTGGTCATATCCCTAACTCCTTCCTATGCTTTTTGTCCAGGTATTTGCCACTGCTGTCTGTCAGGTGGAACACAAGGATTTTCAGCTCCTCTAAAACAGTCTCAGCTATTTCCAAGTAGAGCATGGAGGTGCTGCACTGTAGTCAGCTTTGGTGACACTAATGGGAACCTTTGCTGTGAGGAGGTGGCCAGGGCACATCCCCTGAGCAGAACAGGAAAACTGAATGCATAAAGCTTGCTTGTTATAATCTTCTTCATCTGTCTGCTGAACAAATGTGATTAAAATGAAGGGTAAAATTAGTGAAAATGATAGCATTTCAATTTAGTATAATAGTTTTGCTCACGTTTGTATGTTTACTGTTATTAAGACGCGCATAAGTGCTTGTAGCACAGCCAAGGCCACCGGGTGCCAAGAACAGGGTTGGGCCAGATGTAGAGCGGGTGTGAGCCAAGGCACAGTGCCTTTGGCACCATGGAAGGGCACAGCTTGCCCAGCTGGGGCCAAGTGCCTTTGCATGAGCCTGGCATTAATCACTTCAGGGCCCAAAACCCCAGACAGGGAATGTTCAGGCTGTGGTTTCACAGTGGGGAGTTCTGGCTCAAGGTGTTTCCATTTTCCTCTCATCCCTCCTGAGGGCCAAGGGTTGCTGCAGTGCTCACCTTCCCCAAGTTCAGTCTGCTGTGGTCCACCATTCTGGGTAGTTGTTTTCTTTCCATGCTCAAGGTAAACTCATTGAGGAGGTGAGCTGATGGAAAACCAAGCCGTGGGCCAGACTGGCAACTAGGTCTGGCTTAAAACCCCACAGCAACTGCATGGAAAAGTCCCCCATTCTTTTTGTGTGAAGCTGTTCTCCAAGCTGGATGGTGTGGGCAGGCAGTGTGCACACAGCCAGAGGCATGATGCAGGGATGGAGAGCAGGAATGGCATGGGAGGGAGGGAGGGAGACTGAAGTGCCCTGCAGTGATACTGTTGGGGAAGCCTTTCAGCTGGAGATTAGCACAAGGGGAAAAAAGGAGATTTCAGGGTTACCCACAACAAATACAACCTTAACCACTCATGAGCCATTGCAGAGACATCTCACAGGACTTGTGGTGCCATTGGTGGTAGCTTATTGCAAGGAGTCAAGCCACACTGCACTGGAGCAGAGAGTGAGATGAGAGACTGAGCTTGTGCAGAGGGAACTTGGATCAGAAGAGCCTTTTTTTTTTTTTTTTTTTTTTGCTGGCTCACCTAGTTTCTCTCCACTTAGGGTTTCCTCGAATAAACACCTTGGTTTGCTAATAGAGGGTTCCTGGCGTGTTGCGTCTGCACTATTCTTTGATGTCCTATTTCCTGTGCCTCTGTTCCTCCTTTGCTAGCCTGGGCATAGCAGTATGCATCATCTCCCAGAGAAGGGCTTGCAATTCAGCCAGGAAAGGGTTTATTCGCATGTGAAGGAGGCTGTGAAAAGCTAGAGGCCATTTCCCTCCTGGGCAAACAGCTCAGATCTCTACAGTTATCTTGAATAAGCGTCTGAAGTCAATGCTTAGAGGGCATTTTTATCCCGGTTTCCTAAGAAAACGAAGCTTGTGCAACCTCTGTGCCTCATTCACCCCCTCCCTTCCCCTCTGTTCATGCACAGGCGTCTGCCAGTCTCCCAGATGAGGCCGCATTGGAGTTTCTGTGTCAGGAAGGTTTCTATGTTCATCTGCCAGTTCCAGCCATTTCCATAGGTGTGGAGGAGCTCTTGCTGTGCTGTGTGTAAAGGCGTGGTTACACCGAAGCAGGAGAGCAGGGTGAAGGTAAGGGGTGCATCACCTTAATCCATCCACCAGAGAATCCAGCCCATGGGGCTCTCACTTGCAGCTCACCTAGCGGGTCATCAGCTGCTACAAATCCCCAGGAAAACCCCATGAGATGTGACAGAGGTGGATACAAAATATGAGCTGAATCTATTTCCAGGTTCGATTTGCAGCCTGAATGCAGCCCCAACTGTTCCACCTCTCACACCAAGGGACAACCAATCTACAAGCACACAAAGCACCATGAGTGAAAACCCCAAAGACGTGTTTCCTTCTTTGCAGAGCCAGCTCTTCCTCCTTACGCAGCATTTGTGCACGCCCTCAGCACCCCACCAAACAGCCAGAAAGAAGGCAGAAGGTTCAGACCCCACCCAAAGTATGGTCCCCTCCACTTGGTGGAGCCCAACAGGGCTTTCCAGTGCTGCAGGCAGGAATGCACCCCCCAACTGCTATCCTGTGTGCATGCAGCCGGCAAGAAGGCTCAGGAGGATGGAGCTGAGTGAGCAGAGATGGCTGAAAGGCAGAGAGCCTCTCCTACTGCTGTTAGCACTGATTTTCTTATTACAACAGCACTAATAACAGTGACAAAGATGATCATTACTGTGTTGTAGGCATTTTTCTCTCATCATAATACTGTTTCTCTACTAAGAAATGTAATGATCTCCCCCACAACAGCTTCAGACCCGATTGCTGCAATGTGGACATTGCTCAGGTGCAGCCTACCTGGCCAGGCAGCCCTTTTTCCCATTGGATATGCAGGGCAGGGAGTGTTGCATTGTCAATATGCAAAATTTTCAAAAACAGAGGAGGGAGATGTCAATATATTAAGGGTTTTCTGTCCCTGCTCTGTAATTAAGAGGGAGGGCAGACGAGGTCTTCTCTGCATGCAGACTCCACAAGCAATTTGAATGAATGAAATGCACGCGTTGAAAGTGTGTTATTTCAGCTGGGTGAGCTCCTCTCCAAACAGACGAACGTGTGCATAACGTGGGCTGGTTTTACTTTCCGCCAGGCACCAATGAAGTGAATGCTACCAGAGTGTCCGTGAGGGGGTTCCAGAGCCCCTGCCCCCCTCCCACAGCAGCGTGGATAGGTTGGGCTGCTCATCCCACAGTCTGACGCCGCTAAGATCTGAATGATGAGAAAAAAGAGAACACCCGGGCAGAAAGCAGCCCACTCTCTCGATTGCAGCAGAAAGCAGCGCTCTTCCAAACCTCCCCTTCCCTTCGCAGGGCTCTCTGTAAAACAGTTACTTCTGATTTTAATTTGCCTGCACGTTTCCTCCTTCGCGGGGAGGGCAGGCAGGGCAGGCGCTGCTGTGAGCGCTGCCGGATTTACAGCCACCGGTGCTCGGTTACAGGTTGGCCAGCGAGCCCTGCTGCGCCCCAGGTAACCCGTGGCATGGGCTGGGCCGCGGTGTCTCCCTGCTTTGCCCAGGGTACAGCTCGCCTGCTCCCTACCCCACTGATCGCAGTGTCGGGGGGCTTTGGGGTGCTGGAGTGGGTGTCTGGATAGGGAGCTCCCCCCAGCTCCTGGCGGTGTGGGGAAGGGCGGGTGAAATGCAGGTCGAGGCCAAAGTCTAGCAGCGAGGCGGCAGGAGGAGGATGTGAAAACAGCTCTTTATAATTATATTGGTGGCAATTTCACAGACCCTTGTCCACAGATGGAGCGAGGCAGGCAGCGCTGCTGGGAGGCTGCTGTGGGCAGGGATGCCAAAAGGCGTGTTTGGTTTTTTTTTTTTTTTTTTTTTTACTATTTTTTATTTTTGGTCTGGTAAACGTTATAAAAGGTATTGGTAATAAAACCCTTGTGCAAAAAGGAAAAAAAAAAAAAAAAAAAAAAAAAAAGGAAGAAAAGAAAAGAAAGAAAGAAAAACGTTGGCAAAGTAATTCTGAAAGAAATCACTCCAGAGCTTGCATGACAAAGGTGGCCCTGCTGGAAAAAGATCCCGTCCCCCTCTGAGGCATCCCCAGCTCTGCGGTTCCCTGAGGACAGGGATGGCTGCTGGGGCTGTGGAGCTGTTTGGGGCCACCCAAACAAACTGTCTTAAGTGGGCAGCTGGAGAGAGGGCAAAGGTGACCCTGGTTTCCCTGAGCCCTGGCTGAGAGCAGCCCTGCTGGGAGCGGCAGCTGGGGCCATTTTCAGGTAGCGGGTGCCCGTGCTGATGGGGAACAGCTCTAGGCGTGTTGGAAGAGATGCTGTGCCTCAGCACAGGGGAGCAGGAGAGGGAAGGCTCTGGCCCTGACCTGGGGATCAGGCACCCCAACAGCCCCTGGCCCAGCTGGGGGAGACCACACAGTGGGGATCTGTGGTTCTCAGACAACCTCTTTTCTTTCCACTACTGCAAACACCTCTGGATGTTTCCTGAGCACCTGAGCCCAGCCCAAGACAGTTATTTCTCTCTCCATTTCATCCTCATCTCTCCCTGTTGCTCCTTTGTGTCTACCCGCTTGTGAAGGGAATGGCACCCACCGCCCAGCTGCCCACTCCCAAAGGTCAACTCCCACCCATTTGAAATGGTAAAGAAGTGTGACAGGCCCATATGCATACAATGGGTTTTATTACAGCCAGTCGTCCTGCAGGAATGAGGAAGTATCCCCCGAGCCCCAGAGATGCCATTTGTCCTTAAGGGATGGGGATTTTCTCCCTGAGCTGGAGGGGGATGTTAGATGCGGTCAGCAGGGAGCGCAGCCTGGTGCCTGCCCCGTTATCAGCTGTGCCAGCTGCAGGAAGTGGGGCTCATTATTTTTAGGAAGGGGTTGGCTAGGTCATACCCCAGCCTTCTTCCACTGGCAGCAGCCTTCTTGGGGAGAGCTTCAGGCAAGCAATGCAGGGAAAATGTGGCTTTTGGGGGATATTTCCTGGCGTTCACATGGGTCACTTCGCTGCAGCATGCACCATCCAAGCAGAGACACAGAGAAACAGAACTGTGGTGGTGTGGAGAGCTGAGCAGGATGTGATGAGGGAAAGCGTTGTGCTTGAAAGGAAATAAGGAGTACAAGGTTTCCATGTGCTACCCTGCCTTGAGCTGCCCCTTCAGCAGAGGCACTCAGCTCTTTGTCCTCATGGGTACTAGCACCTCTGTGCCCAAGGGGACCACCCAAAGGCCACCAGCACTGTTCCTGTGATCAAACCAGCAAGGCCCTGTACCAAGCAAGAGGAGAGAAGAGACAATACCCCACCTGAGAAGCCATATAGATGGATATCCTGTCTACAGAGCAGGCAACCATCTCCTGACACCCTGGTGGGTTCTCTGGTGTCTGATGAAAGCTATGCTCGTGGTGAATCCTCGCCCAAGTATGGTGGGAACATGAACAGGAGTGTTTTTCTCTCTTTAGCATGCGTGTGTGAGGAGCTCATGGCTGTGTGACGCTTGGCAGCCACACGCACACTGCTCCGGGGGCACTTGGAGGCGACACTGGGAGCGGCTGCGGCTGCTCTGGGTGCCTGAGGGAGCACAGCCACGGCGAGTGGGTGGCAGGGAGACAGCACTGAGCTGGGAGAGGAGCGGACAGATCGGTGCGGAAAGACAGGGAGACGCTGGGAGTGGCAGGGGCTGTGGGAGGCTGGGAGCCAGTGAGTCAGCGCGGCGGGGCGCTTGGAAGCACGGCACGGTGGTTGGAAGCACACAGAGCCAGGCCTGCTGCAGGCCCTGAGCCACATTCTCCTGGCTGGCACCCACTGCTGCCCTCCTTCATGGCTCAGCCAAGGTGAGCAGATCGCTCTCCTGGCTGGGGAAATGCTGTGGCCTCCTCCTGAGTGTGTGGCACACCTAACTGGGGCAGATGTGACAATGTGGTCTGGGAGCGGTGCTGCCTGGCAGCTGGGCCATCCCTGTGAGCAGGATGCTGCTGGGGACATCACAGCTGCTGGTGCTGCTCACATCTCCTGCGCCCAAACAGAGGACCACCTGTGCTTTGGGTGACATGTCGCATCCACACATTCTCCATCCAGCCCGTTTGGCTCAAAATCTAAAGAAATCACCAGAAAGCACTGTGCATCACTGGCGTGGAGCTCATCTGCTCAGGCTGGTGTCTCTATTTCTAGGTGGCATGGTGATGGCCACGCTCAAACCTTCTGTCTGCAGATAGACCTGCACCCTCGCCACTCCCTTAACAGCAGACAAATGCCTTTGCTTACACTCATTTACTTCCTTTCCCATGTATTTCTCCCTCCACTCCTTTCCTCTCTGCCCCCTCCAACTCAGTCCCTCACCTTACTCTCCAGACCCAGGCCTCCACTCTTGACCTTGTCTTTCCCACTTCCTTTTGGCATTATATGGACCAGCACGGGGCTGGCAGTGAGGGCAGGCTTCCACCAGGGACAGGGGCCCATCCCCATGCAGGGCTGCGTGCGGGAGGGATGTGATTGCGACAGCATCTCATGGCTGCTGTGCAATGTTTGATCCCATCTCTCCCTTCTCATTCCCAAATGATTTGAGTCAAATGAAGCCCATTTTAGTAGTCAAATATGTAAGGGTGGGTCCCATTGTGCTTTGACCCTACGGGGCATTTTGTACATTTAATTTGATTTACACCCAAAATGTTAATATGATGTACCGGATTTTCTTCCACACCCAGCTAAGGCTGAAAATTAAGCAAGGTCCCACAGAAAGGTTGGTACCACGCAATCTTGTTAGCACTGCTATTTGTTAAGCAGTTACAGTGCTCGGGCTGTGCACAGCTTTTCTCCAGTGCCAATGGGGAAGGACGGTGGCTGCCTGGTGCCACATCCATGGGCTGCTTTGCTGGGGGAGGCACAGCCCCAGGGTACTGCTTATGGCACCACATGCATTTCCCTACAATGGTGTTTGTGGGGCTATGCTGTGAGCCTGCACCCCAGGCTCCTCTGGGTTGAATAACAGCATGAAGAAGCTAGTCCATCACCACCATGCTGCCCTGGTCCTCTTGCCTTGCCAGAAGCTGCAAGACCATCAATGCTGGACACACTGCACCCTGGCCACTCATTAGGGCTACGGAGCTGACCATAATTATAATTCCTGATTCAGCCATGTGAGTGAGTGCATACCTGGTGTGGAACACCCAATGGGAGCTGAGTATGTTCTCCTGTACCTTACTGAGTGGGAACCTCAAAGCAGGGTTTGAAAAAGGTGAGAGCATGATGAAGCAGTCCCAGAGAACTCTTGGTGCAGGAGTGCTGTGATTAATGACATTTGTTGCCTCTTTTGGCTTAAAAGACAAGGAGTGGTTAAAATAAAAGAAACCTCAAGTTGAAAGCCTTGCAAAAATCAATTAAAACCCATGTAGTTTTATCCTGACCTGGAGCAAAATCTCAGACATAACAGAGAAATCACTTAGCCTTAAAGAGAAGGAAAGGAAGAGCGTTCCTCAGCATGGTATTGCTGAGGTGCCCTGGGGCACCCTGGGTTCCACCTCCACTGGGAGGTGTGCTGTCCCTGTGTGCTGAGCTGCCCTGGGTGGCTGGGAGGTGATGGTGGCAATGAGGAGAGCAAAGCCAGGCGCTGTCCCTCAAGAGCAACTCCTTGGAGAGGACTTCTCAGCTCTTTCTTCTGGGTGCTCCCAGCAATGGAGGCTGTGAGGACTGGTGGTGATGCTCTCCTGCCTCACTCCTACCAAACCACAGAATCACAGAATTGTTCAGGTTAGAAAAGATTACTAAGATCATCAAGTCTGACAGTCAGCTCATCACCACCACTAACCACGTCCTTCAGTGCGACATCTCCACATTTCTTGAGCACCTCCAGGGATGGTGACTCCAACACCTGCCTGGGCATCCTCTGCTTGTGCTCGATCACTCTTTCAGAGAATAAATATTTCCTAATATCCAATCTGAACCTCCTCTGGTGCAACTGAAGGCCATCACCTCTCGTTCTATCACTGATACCTGGGAGCGG